CAGTCCATGGCAGGCCTTTCAAGGAGAGAGTACGGTTTTACGAGCCGGAAATGCGTGAGGAACTCGAGAAGCAGGTTAAGAAGCAGCTCGAGTTAGGAGTCGTAAGACCTTCGAAGAGTGAGTGGGCCGCGGCTCCACACTTTGTTAAGAAGAAAACGGGAGAATGGAGGTGCGTTATAGACTACAGGCGGCTGAATGCGTCGACGGTGGCAGACTCCTACCCACTACCGCGCATCTGGGACCACCTACGCCGTGCAGCTGGAAAGAAGTACTACTGCACGTTGGATATGAACAGCGGATTCTGGAATGTCCCGATCGAGGAGGGGAGTAAGCCGTTGACAGCATTCATAACTCCGATCGGGCTATTCGAATTCAACGTCATCCCGTTCGGGATAAAGAACTCACCTGCTGAGTTCCAGCGGGCCATGGATGCTTGTTTCGAGCCCTTACTCGGCGACGATGCGTTTTGCTACGTCGACGATATCGTCATTTGCGGCGACGACTTCGAGAGCGTGCTCGCAAAAGTGGAGCTCTTCCTGAAGCAATGCAGGGAGACCGGGTTCTACCTGCGGCTCGACAGAAGCGAGTGGTTTAAGCACAAAGTGAAGTACTTAGGACACGTGGTCGGCACGGATGGTATCAAGGTCCAAGAGAAGAAGACACAAACCATCGTGGCAGCACCAAGACCAGAGAGCAGACGCGGTCTCCAGAGCTTCCTGGGCATGTGTGGTTACCTGCGGCCGTTCATCTCTCGCTATTCAGGCACCGCTGTTCAACCTCTTGAAGAAGGCCGTCGAGTTCAAGTGGCAGCCAGCGCACGAACGTGCCTTCGAGGCCCTGAAAGAAGCAGTACAGAACACGGTCACTCTGCACGCACCGACCCCGACAGGAACCTACATAATCGAGACGGACGCCTCCGAACTGGGAGTAGGAGCTCTGCTAAAGCAGCGTCAAGGTGACGTAGAAGTGCCGTTAGAGTTTGCTAGTAGGAAGTTCAACCCCACGGAGCGACGCTGGGACACGCGAGAGAGGGAGCTGTTCGCAGTTAAGTGGGCGGTAGAGAAGTGGCGCGACTATGTCAGCTTGGCGCACTTCGCCGTGCGCACGGACCACAACGATCTCCGCCACCTAACAAACGTCGACACCGGCAAAGTCTTCAGGTGGGCACTCGCCCTCAGTAACTATGACTTCACGATTGAGTTT